TCAGGTATATTATGCTAAGTGAAAGAAATCAGGTGTTATTGTTTTGTTTTGTTTTGTGAGACAGAGTTTCTCTGTGATATCCCTGGCTGTCCTGGAACTCACTTTGTAGGCCAGGCTGGCTCAGTAGGCAAATGCACCTGCTACGGAGGCTGACAACCTGAATCTGATCCCAGGGCCACATGATGAAGGAAGGGAACTGAGTCTTACAAGTTGTCCTTTGAAGAGGGAGCAAGGGAGGGAGATAGAAAGAGGGAGAGAGAATAATTTTTTTTTTAATTTTAAGAAGACAAACAGGTTAACCACAGTAAAAGGCAAACAAGGAAAGAAAAATAAATGGACAACAAGGTCAATTAACCAGAATGTAAAGGTCAATTTACCAGAATGTAACTAAAAAGAGTCTAACCAATGTGACCAGGAAAAAAGGCCTCTCTGAGAAAGTAAGGCAGACCTGAGATGTTGAGAGTTGGAAATAGAAAAACAAGTATTTCCTGGTGGTGGTGGTGGTGCCTTTAATCCCAGCCTCCAGGGATCTCTGAGTTCAAGGCCAGCCTGTTCTACCAAGTGAGTTTCAGGACAGCCAAGGCTACACAGAGAAACCCTGTCTCAAACAACCAGAAACGAAAGAGGGTGGGAGGGGGATGAAAGGAGGGAGAGAGGGAAGGAAGACAGAGATAAAGACAGACAGAAAGAAAATTTGGAGACACATTCCAGAATCAAAAAGAAAGCCAATGGTAGCTGAAATGTAGTAAAATGTCAAAGGGGTGGATGAAGTGGCAGATAAGAGATGCCAGGGGACTGTAGGAAGGTCTTTGAATGCCCCTAACTTCCTTTGTCATCTGTTGTCTTACTGTTCCATCAACACAGGTGTTCTCAACCTCCATTGAGCTTTCACACATCTGATTGTACCTGACGGTAGCAATAGCAAACACACTGCTTGGGTGAACTTGCACATTCAGTTGGTATAGCTATTAGTGGTCTAGAAATAACATTTTAGGCAGCACCAGCGATGGCTGCTGGTTTAAAGAATCTTCATTGATTTATTGACTATATCTTCCCAACTATTCAGGAATTATCAAGGTCCTGCAAAGGACACTACAAATCACTCTCATGATTTATATCCAGATTTCACTCTTATAAAGTCTAATTAATTGCTTTTCCATTTTATTAATTTGAAAATATTCAACTCCTAAACATAAAACCTACAGGCACAAAATAGTCTACATGTGCCTATGTTGCTTGAGTCTTTCTTTCACCTGACATAGCTGCATTCAAGCTCTTCAAACAGACAAAGCTGGGTGTGGTGGAGCACATCTGTTAACCTGGGCTATGACAGTAAAGAATCAGTCTTACAATAACAGAAACCAGAAAGACAAAAATGTTTTTAAAACTCTCCCGATATAATGGGTCACTTTTTGATTAAAAGAACCTGTAGCCTAGTCAAAATTAGGTTAGTTTAAAAGTCCTGCCTTTCTTCTTGGTGTGCTCCATCTCCCTCCAGGCACACTGTGCCTGCCAAACAGACTTCCTGCTAGCCTCCTGGTCTTAGGTTCCCCCACACACACACCTCAGATTTTATGATTTCCCCACTGGGAGAAATCCAACCAGTTCTTCAGGGTGCAAGACAAATACTCTCCAATCTTGCCCTTCCCGCAGCCAGCGGAACCTCCACCTCATCTCCCTGGTCCAGGAGCAATTCACACCTCCCAGCTGCCTGACCTTTCCCACCTGGCCCAGAGCTAGACAGAGGACATCTGCATCTCACCCCAAATATGTAGTGTGCCTACCTGCAATCTTTTACTGTTCAGTTAACTATGACATGAATTTTAGTACCAGTCAAGTCCTTGCAGAAATTAAACAAAGCTGGGGTAGGTACTTTTTCTTCCAAACCTGGAAAGAAGTCTTTAGGACCTGGTTCTTGATGACACAACACATCAAAGTTTTACATGAATATCTTCTACTCCCATTACCTATTCAAGATCTATCTAAACTTTGTGAAACTTGTGCTGTTAGGGAGAATCTAGGGGCCACTGAGAGGTTTGGAGTGCTTATTGCTCCTGCACAGACGGGGTTGGATTCCCCAGCACACGAACTCGGTGGTTCAAAAGCATCCATAGCTCCAGTTCTATAGGATCTGACACACTATTCTACCTCCCTGGGCACCAGGCACACACGGGGTGCACTTGCAGGCAAAACATGCACAAAAAATTCTTAATTAACAACTTTTTTTTCTTTTGAAATCTAGTCAGGCCTGGTGCCACATGCCTGTAATCCGAGCACTGAAGAGGCAGGAAGATCAAGAATTCAAGGTTATTCTCGTCACCACAGAGATTTTGCCTGGGATGCATGAGAAGATGTCTCAACCTGCCCTCCTTAACCCCAGCCCCAGAAAGAATCTTAAGCTAGGCCTTGAGGCATATGCCTGCAACCCCACCGTTTAAAAGGCAAAGGTGGGATCGCAAATCCCACCAGTCTGGGCTCCTAGTGAGTTCTAGGCCATCTTGAGCCACATGGCAAACCATGCTTAATAATGACGATGAAGACAATTTGACACAGAACTTAGGGCTCTGAAGCTACAATACACTCAAGGTCAAAGACCTCTACAAGGTACCACAGCTAACCGCAGGAACCAAAATTTGACTCTATCCAGCACTACCCACAAACCTAAAGCACCTGAACGTCAAAACATCGGGGGCGGGGGGCACGACGCTGACATGGGTAACACTCAGATATTTAACTTAAGAGTTTTACTATCTGCTAGCGAGGTTTTCTAGCTTTAATTTTTACGAGGAAGGGCTAATTAATCCTTAATCACACAGATCACATTAACAGTTATTTTCAAACTCAGCTCTGCCCGTTAAGGCTTATAAAATATTTTGGGAACACACAAACAACCAAAACTTCTACTTGGTAATGGCTCTGACTAGAAACGCATCCGCGGGAGTCCGTTTTTCCTTATTTGTGCCCAAAAGTCCAACAGACTAAACACCACAGCTGCCCCGATTTTCCAATTTCAACTTGCATTTAAGATAACGCTTTTGTTTCGTTTACAGCGCTCAGGCTGCTGACACAGCTGGGCCCCTTCTTTGTAATAAACACAGAGCTTCTATATTTAAAAGTACAGTGCAACTTTGTTTTACCATCCCCTCCCCAGTCTCCGGGCTAATTTTCTGTCTTCCAAAGCTCCACCTCCATCCACCCCATGATTTTTTTTGTTGTTTTAATCAGTGACGCTTCCAAGAGCCTCCCGGAAAGTGGAGTCTGTTCTTTAAAGACGTCTCATCGCAGTGGCATTTCTCTTCTCCGCAGCTTGTTGTACAGGGAGAAAGGGGACTTTCTGCAAAGGCCTCGTCCTGAGGCCGGGGTGCTTATGGGGGCGAGGCAGTGGACCGCGCA